TTTTGAAATTGAGATTTATAGATAATCTGAAAGCTGAATAAATAAGCTTTCCGTTGATGTAGGCTATGGTTTCTTAGGATAGGACAATATTTGGCTGAGATACAACTATTTGAAAATCTGGAATCTGAGGGTGCAAAAAGATCTAAAAATCGCCTTTAAAGTTGTCCAAATGAAGTTCTTAGCAATGCATATTAGGAATCAAAAATTAAGTTTTGATATATTTACGGTAGGAAATTTACTAAATATCTTCATGGAACCTGATCTTTACTTAATATCCCAATGATTTTTGGCATAAAAGAAAAATCTATAATTTTGACCCATACAATGTATTGTTGGCTATTGCTACAAACATACCCGTGCTACATGTGATTGGTTTTGTGACACATTTGATATTAGACACCACTATCAAGAAATATTTTTTAAAAAGACAGAAAAAGTCTGACTGTTTAATATTGTTACTGTAATAAAATAGCATATGCAAATACATGCAGCTCAATGCAATATATGAACAATGTAAAATAAATGTGTGTGGAGCAAAATAAATAAAAATGCTGTTATAGGGTTTTAATGATACATGTTTACTAGTGGTTCTGATGACACTCTAGTCCAAGTTAAATGGGTCAGATTGTGCCCGGTTCTCCCAAGAGATAATAAGATTTCCACAAAATGGGTACAGCACTAATCTGTGCAAAAAGTCTGAGACCACTGGTGAAAATGCTTTTATTTTTATAATTGTGACCCTGGACCACAATTTTTTTTTTTTTTAAATTGAGATTTATACATCATATGAACGCTGAATTTATAAGCTTTCCACTGATGTATGGTTAGGATAGGACAGTATTTGGCTGAGAAACAACTATTTGAAAATCTGGAACCTGAGGTTGTGAAAAAAAATCAAAATATTGAGAAAATCGCCTTTAAAGTCGTCAAAATGACGTTCTTAGCAATCAAAAATTAAGTTTTGATATATTTACGGTAGGAATTTTACAAAATATCTTCATGGAATATGATTTTTACTTAATATCCTAATGATTTTTGGCATAAAAATGTATCATTTTGACCCATACAATGCATTTTTGCTATTGCTACAAATAAACTCATGCGACTTATGACTGGTTTTGTGCTCCAGGGTCACATTTTACTGCAATTTTCATTACAAATTACACCATTTAAGTGAGAAGATTATAGTGTTTGGTTTTTCACTCCAAACCGTACAACTTTCTTCTGTGGAGAAATTTTAGTAATGTGCAGTTTATGCTTTTTTCAAATGCATTTATAATGAATGTGGACTCCCAGGATTTCAAGATTCAAAACTGACACAAAAACACCATAAAAATGATCTAGTAGCAAACATTAACAAATCTAGTTTATGTACAACTTCTTAAAAAAAAATAGCTATTTGAACTGATCGAAATTTAAGTCATTATATAATGATAATATTCACCTCCAATGAGCTGTAACTGCATCAACTAGATCAGTGAGTCATCAGGGAGTCGAACGGATCCGTTGGATTTGTGAACAAATCATTCAGACCAGAACTGGTCATTGAATTCATTGATTCGTTGAATGAACAGTCTCAAGAGTGATTCATTCACAACTCAAATATTACTTTTATAACCAGTGTTATAAAAACACTCAAGATCAAGTATCAATAATTAAATTTCTTTAAGATTCTAAATGTTTACATTTAAACATAAATTTAAATTTAAACAAAGTTATGTTCCACAGATAAAAAGAAAGGTTTGAAACAACACGAGGCAGAATGAATGACGACAGATTTTGGTAACACTTTACAATAAGGTTTAATTTATTAACATTAGGTAACTGCGTTAGTGAACATGAACTAAAAATGAAAAATACTTCTAAAGCATTTATTAATTTTAGTTATTGTTAATTTCAAAATGTACTGCTTTGTTAAAATCAAAAGTTTTATCTGTTAATATTATTTAATGGACCTAAACTAAGATTAACTAATGGAGAACAAATATGTTTTTATTAACTGACATTAAAAGAGATTAATAATAATGTAAAAAAATGTATTGGTTATTAGTTAATGCATTAACCGGTGTTAAGCAATGGAACCTTATTGTAAGTGTTACCCAGAATTCTCATTTTTGGGTGAACTAATCCAGTTAACATGGTAAATGTGACAAACTGACTTGTTTGATGAGTGACAGAAAGAAATAGTGGAGAAACCTTAATATATTTATCATTATTTTACATGTTGATAATTACTTAGAAGTAACTTACATCTTTGACAAAAAGAAAAAAAAGTGAGTTGGTTCATATATTTTTCTTGTCAACAAAATAGTTCTAAAAGAAGCCAAATAAATAAATAAAGTTTTAGAAACAGTCATGTATAATTCTAAATAAACATTACCAATATATAATCAAACCAAAATTTAGTCAGACACCTTCAACATTTCTCACATTATCAAAGTTTATTCGCTATAGCTTAGAAAATGGTAATAAAATATGACAAGAACTTTAAGTACAAAATTAGATAAAACCAATTTAGGTCAACCAACTACCAAGCAACGCTTTATTTTGTTCAGTCTGTGGTGTAAAAAGTTTGCATTAGCAATTAAAGAAAAAACACTTAAGCAAAACATGGTCAGGTCAAAGTGTCTGAATAATTTTTGGTCCCAAATTTTTTATCAGTTTTACTGGTAGTCCACTGTATGAAGAATTTTTGGGTATAATATGTCACAGTTTACTTTATTTTGCTTTCCTCACTTACATAAATTAACTATAGTGTCCTACACACACTAGTTAAAAAATATCAAAAATTATATCTGGTGTCTGAATAATTTTGGTTTGACTGTAAATTTTTCAAAAATTCTTCTAATTGTTAGTTCATTTGTTACCCAAAAAAATGCATGTCAGAGGCTTTTCTCTTTATTTCTATGAATTTACATTTATTAACTATCATTTAAAGTCGTCATTTACTGTATTTATTATAATGCTCTACATATAATCTTCTCAGGAACTCATCCATGCCCCTCATCAGCCCAGTCTTGACCTTCCAGATTTCGAACAGTGAGGCACAAGCACTTTATTTCTGAGCCACATCAACCCACACAGCTGGTGTCTTCAGCACCTCAGTGGACTCATGGGTACCGTACTGTCCCTCTCCCCGGGTCCTCGAAAACCCGGTTATTATGACGACCGGCCTGGTTCTCTAAGCCATTACCCGAGCCTGAGCAGCCGCTCGCTGAACACTCAAAAAGACCCTAACCACAAACGCAGCCACTCCATCTTCCTCCCCGCTCTCACCTGGAAACGCCTGGTGGCCTCCACCAAGAAGCGGGGCGAGTCCAAAAAAGCCTATCCTGGAGGTCAAGGGGCTGTCGGGGCTCCTCTCAACAACAATAACATCTACCAGAATGATCCGGTCTTGCACCTCAACCGCGAAAATGTGAAGAAGTCTCTCTCCTGCGCCAACCTCACTAGCTACGATGGTCCAGCGGGTCTGGGCCTGGGCGTAGGGCTGAGTGTGGGATACAACAAACCGCAGCAGATTTCCTCCATAAAGAAGATTGCGCCCACATGCACCTCCTCGCCCAAGCGCGTGATCGTCCAGGCCTCGACCAGCGAGCTGCTCCGCTGCCTGGGCGAGTTTCTGTGTGGCCGCTGCTATCGGCTCAAGCATCTTTCCCCCACCGATCCGGTGCTGTGGCTGCGCTCTGTGGACCGCTCGCTCTTGCTCCAGGGCTGGCAGGACCAGGCCTTTGTGACACCAGCCAACGTGGTGTTTGTGTACATGCTGTGCCGCGATGTGGTGGATGGCGACGTGGTGTCTTCAGAGCATGAGCTCCAAGCAATTCTCCTTACCTGCCTGTACCTGTCGTACTCCTACATGGGGAACGAGATCTCGTACCCGCTCAAGCCCTTCCTGGTGGAAGCGGCTAAAGAGGCATTCTGGGACCGTTGTCTGGCCATTATCGACATCACCAGTACCAAGATGCTGCGCATCAACGCAGACCCGCATTTCTTCACGCAGGTCTTCGCCGACCTGAAGAGCGAAGGAGGCTGCGCTTTGCAGGACTACGCTAGAGTTCTGGATCGGTGAAAAGAGGACGAGGCGGATTGTCTCTGTAAATGTGACACCGTCAACATCTAGCACCTTCATTCCATCATTCTGGCCCCCCATATGCCTTGTCAGTCACTTGACATTATGAGTCTTGTTTCTACTGACCATTCTTCAAGAAACAGAAGAAACATATTCCTGCTGAAACGACCAGCTTAGACCTGTGAGAACATCCAGGTGTATGTTGGTTTGGTGCTGGTCTAACTGTTGAACTACACAGTCTTTTTGGTGGTTATGTTAGTTAAGAATCATGCTGATGAGCATCTGCGATGGTCTTTTCAGCAGGAGAAGAAAGTATAGTGAGCTTTTGGATACAGAAACATAAAATACGCTCTTAAAAATGTTCTTTATTGGCATTAATGGTTCCATGAATAACCTTTAACATCCATGGAATCTTTCCATTCCACAAAAGGTTCTGTAGATTTTTGAAATGTTCTTCATACTAAAGAATAATGTTTCTTTAAGGAACTGTTCGCTGAAAGGTTCTATGAGGAACCAAAAATGGTTCTTCTATGTAAGGGGTATCCATTCCTGCTCCTGGAGGGCAGAGTTTAGCTCCAACACACTTGCCTGGAAGTTTTTAGTGAGTCTGAAGACCCGGTTTCAGGTGTGTTTATTTAGGGTTGGAGCTAAAATAGGCCTAAACTAAACTAAGCCCTCCAGGAACAGGTTTCTGGATCTATGGTTTTGCTGCAAAAACACTCTTTTGGCTAAAGGTTCTTCAGATTTCAAAAATGTTCTTCATACTAAGAAAAAAATGGTTCTTTTTTAAGCTGTTCACTAAAAGGTTCTTTTAGTGAACTTGGTTGAACCCAAAATGATGCTTCTATAGTGTCACTACAAAAAACCCTCTTTTTGGAAGTTTTATTTTTTATTTTTTTCAAAGTGGGCATTCCCAACTTTTTTCTTTCTCATTCAATTCCCCTATCTTAAAAATTAAATATAGTCATAATTTAGGGATGCACATCAAAAAGAAGGGAGAACTCCATCTGCATAGAAGTTTAGCAGTTACCCTGTTGTCAACCCACTGTTTTTCAAAAGTAGTTACAATTCCTTTACTAAACATTTCAGTTCCTCTACCTTTTCGACATCTAGTCTGAGAGAAACTGCAACAGAAACCATCCAACAAAGAGCATTTTAGTGGGAGTGCATGTGTGTGATGGGCAGCAAACAGTGAGCGTCAACAGCTGTTGGTTATTGTGTTGTCCTTCCTTTATTTCATGTGCTGGACGTTGGGGCACCAGCTGCAATGGCATTAACAAGATTAACAGATTAGTGTCACACACACACACACACACACAGGTTTGTTTTTGTGAAAAGTGGGGACATCCCACAGGCGTAATGGTTTTTATACTGTACAGACCGTATATTCTATTGCCCTACACCAACCCTACCCCTAAACCTACCCCTCACAGGAAACTTTGTGCTATTTCAGATTTTCAATACACTCCATTCTGTGTGATTTATATGCGTTTTGAAAAGTGGGGACATGGGGTAATGTCCTGAAAAGTCACCTTCTCCTTGTAATACCTATGTCATACCCTTGTCATTATACAAATTTATGTCCTCATTTGTCACAAAAACGCGCACACACACACAGAGACGACTGTAATGCACTCACAGCCACAGCCACAGCCACACATACACACACAAACACTAAACATACATTCACACTCTACAAGCCCTCTCTAGCTCTCACTTATTAATTAAAAGCATCAATAGCAAATTGTTTGCAACAATGTACAGTATGTTAAAAATAGATGTTTACATTTTCTGAAGATAATGTGGGTGGCACTTGACTGTGCAGAAGTTGTTGTAAGCAGTTGCTAAATGGTTTCATACTGTTCTTTAGTCAAAAGTATTGAATAAATTGAATAATAATAATAATAATAACTCGATCCAAACTTATATGGATTATTTTCTTAAACTTTGGGCCCTATTGACTTTCATTGTATAGAAGAAACAGACC